ACACACACACACACACACACACACACACACACACACACACACCACAGTAACTCTGTAGAGGTGATGGATAAATTATTTAGTTTGATTGTGGTGATTGTTCACAATGTATACATATAGCATCACGTTATATTCCTTAAATATATTCAATTTTATGTTAAAAATATCTCAATAAAGTTGCTAAAAAAGTAAGATGGGACCATCTACCAGAAAAAACATTCTTAAGTATCCTGCTGTATACTGAAAATTATTTTCCAGAGGTGTTGTCATAAATGAATCACCCCTTTGACAAGACTGTGTGTTCTCATTAACTAAAAAGTTATTATGGACTTAAAATAGAATAATATCATGACATTTTCTATAAACAACATTTTTTTATAATTGAAGAGAGCAAACACTTCCCGATATATGTATTAACTGGTTGTTATTTTCGTCCTTATGTCCTTTGTATGTATCTCCAGGTGTGAGTGCGGTATGTGGGAGGGCAGGAATGGAAGGAGTGGATATCTTCATGCTTTCCTTATCAATTTGATTAAGCTTTGTATGTATCAAAAATGTTAACTTTTGTCATTTTTGCCTTAAGCATTTAAGACCCAAAGAGATGCAAAAACTAGCCCAGGTACAAAAAGAGATAAAGAGATGCCAAGTCCCAGATTGAGTCATCTGAACTCAGTCTATGTACATCAGGACCTTTCTGGTTCCTTTCATCTCTAGTCATACGAATTTTCTAATTTGTTCCCCATTTCTACATGATTATACAGCAATTAAACACTGGCTGATATTCTTACAGAAAAATCAGCAGCATTTTCTGATTTATAAATTTGCCCTTGGGGATAGTGATACCAAGATGGCAGTTTTAATACTCTGAAATCATACAAGAACCTATGTTATTTATGTGACCACAAGCAAAAAAAAGCAAAGGGAGGGATGTGCCTCAGACCTAGTCCAGCCCTGCCTCTCATGTGTTGTGACCATGGCTCAGTCATTTGGGCTGCAATTCTCATATATCGAACATGGGTGCACACAAAATGATCTCTAAGGATTACAATTTTAGTTTTGGATGAAAATCCTCATGGGAGAATTAGAATANCACTTCAGTCCCCTTGGCCCTGCACGGAGAACCCTTGTGCAGTGCACAAACCACACAACCATATGAGACAACTCTGAGTATTACAGTGATTTGGGTCCAGATCATAATCTCCACGTGCAGGGGCAACAAGGTTTATTTTTCTTTCTATTCCCCAAACACCTGGAAACCACAGCTGTCTGTGATCTATGTACCCACGACTCCCCTTTCCCAACCTTGTCCTTCTAATTTGTTTACATTTCCTTGGCCGTATTGACATTCATGTTTAATTATATATTTTCCACGAAGTGCATGAAGTTTTGTAGAATGAAGTAGAACATAAATACAAATGTACATGCACATCCTTCCAGTCAGCTGTGCGGAGCAGAGCCACTGAAAATGCACACAATAGATTTTTAATGAATTGTGTTCAACTCAACCAACCTGACCTGTTTCTATATTCCCACATACAAGGCGGATAAGAACGCTTTCAGGCCTTTTCAACAGGATTGATTATCCTGTCTTTGTTAGGTCTCTACCTTTGGTTGGACCATAATACATTGTTGTTTTTCTTCTCATGGCTTGATCTGCAAAGGGTGGGGCACATGGACTGTTGGAAAGCCTTAAAGGCTGTGACTCATATTTCTGAAGGCAGAACTTTTCAGCCCGAGTATTTATCTGACAGTACAAGATGCTGTTATTTACAGCAGCGTGAGCTGAACCTCACTGAGAAAAATTTCTGTTTACTGAAATACAGAACCAAGAGAAAGACAAGATGGGCACTGCTGGAAAAGTAAGCAGAAAATTTTTATATCTTCATGATCATGATCTAATAATGTGGGGCTGACTTTTAGAACTTCGAATGCATTAAAGTAGTTAGGTCCTTGCGGATCTTTCTTGAGGAATTAAACACCTGGGGAGCAGGCACGCACTGGGGAGGTGACTCTGGGGAGGGCGTTTCTGAGAATGCCAGGAAAGTGGGGTAAAACAGCATATGGAAGGGTTTTCAGTAAAACAGTGGAGGAAAATGGGGAAATGTGGTTTATACTGACATTGTTAATAGTTTAATTTCAGGATAGCTGGGCATTTGCTCTGGGAAGCAAAATGTTTCCATAAGGAGACTTTCAATAGTCTCATTTGCACATGTTGCATTTGCCCCCTAGTTCAGTGGAGGACCAGGGTCTGCTTCTCAGCTATTGGATAAGATTTTCCTGCTGTTAGTGGGGAAATGCTAATTCTGGAATGCAAAGCAGACAACAAAATATCATGCTTTTCAAGTTTCCTAAGGATGTAGTTTCCATCAAAATACATTTTAAAAATCTTTAAAAACAAGAATACATTCTTTTGAAGTATTTCTATCCTTTAAAAACAGAGTTGGCATTAACTTTAGACAAAGCTTTAGCATTTTTTTCATTTGCAAGTTGGTCAGTATGGTTCTTTGTTTTAAATGGCACACAATTGTTTATGGGGTTAGGTGCCCTTTTTGTTTTATTTGTTTTTATTTAAACAATTTTGCATTTAACTTACCTTAAGGTTTGGAAAAATGCAGATGACATTTGAAGTCTGGGTAACGTGACAAGTGAGAAGGCCCTATAGTGTTAGAATGAGAAACATTGCTCTTGGAATTGAATAGAAGCGTAGTAAGAGCACTCCAGTTTGGTCAGGAACCCACAAGCACTAGATTAATTGGAAGCTAATTTTTCACTCTAGAAGCTAGCAACTCTACTCACTGAAGGTAATGAATCTTAGGGTTGGGAGGAGTCTTAAAAATTTGCAACCCCATCCAACCAACAGATGCTTGAGTTCTAGTATTCCCACCTCTATAACATGGTCTCAGTAGGCTCAAGTCAGCACTTTCCAATTATAATTAATAATATCATATGTAATTTAAGAGATAGCATAAAAGCTGGATTATTTTGATAGAGTGATAGTCATGCAATAGTATGATTTGCATAAAGGTTATATGGTTTTATATATATACCCCAAGTTGCTCTAGTGTTTCAGTGTAGCTCATGGAAGAAGGGCTCCCTTTACATCGGGGATTACTTTTTTCACTTTTAATAATAAATATTTTATTTTTTATTAAAAAGGTTTAGTTTGCTTGGATTCCCTTAGCAAAATCCCACAGGTTGGGTGGCTTAAACAGCAGAAATTTTCTCACAGTTCTGTAAGCTAGATGTCTGAGATCAAGGCATCAGTAAGTTCTGTTTCTTCTGAGGCCTCTCTCCTTAGCTTGTAAATGACCATCTTCTTTCTGTTTTCACATGGTCTCCTCTCTGTACATGTCTGTGTCCTAATCTCCTCTGCTTACACAGACACCAATCATACTGGATTAAAGCTTACCCTAACGACCTTAATTTAACTTAATTACTTCTTAAAAAACTATCTTAAAATTAAGAGACATTCTGAGGTACTGGGGTTTAGGACCTCAATGTATGAATTTGGGGGGAACATAATCCAGCCCATAACCATGATCTTTTTAGAAAATTTGAATAATCAGAAAATATGAGGTGAAAATATAGTCTTACATCCTAAACACTACCATTAATTTCATTTTTGTTTGTTCTTCCCTCCTTACATTATTTTCACACATATTTTATGTAGATGTACTAACACTATTTATATTTTACCCTACTTTTCCTACTAAAATTTATAAGTATGTTTTAAATATATAACTTTAATTTCTAGATTTACCATAATTCATTTTATCATTTCTCTACGATTATTTACATATTTATTTACCTATATTGGTTTTATATTTTTCTTTATAAGTAGTGCTGTGATGACCTCTGATATATATTAAGATTTTTCTGAATTTAACATTGTTGAGGTAGATTTTTAAAATGAAATTATAGGGTGAAAGGGTCAAAATACTCTTAAGTAGTGTAAAAAGTTTGTGCAAGATGAATGAATGAGTTCTGGAGAGCTAATATACAGCATGATGATGATAGTTAACAATATTGCATTG